GAACAGCAAAGGGGGGGGGGGTTGGCCTGTACATTGCAGAGTCACTTGTTTGCACAGAACGCTTAATGCCTCAAATGACGTAGTGGAAGTTTTAGCAGTAAAAGGGCGAGAACCAAAACCTAGTCATTGTGGAGTCTAAGCCTCCGGATGCAACATCCCAGCAATTCCAGGAACAGCGTTAAAAATTGACCACTGTCTGGAAAATCTTCCAGCTCCTGCCCCAACATCTTTCTCCTGGGGGATTTCAACTTAAGGGACCTAAAAAGGGGGAATATAGCAAATAATATTGTTTGCAGTAATAACACCAGGAGGCAGCTCTGATGAAAACTCACACTCACACGAGCTTTTAAATCTCTGCACAAAATTCAATTTAAACCAGCAAAAAATAGAGCCTACTAGACTGGAGAATACACTAGACCTCATATTCACTAACAATGATGATCTGATAGAAAATGTCACCATATCAAAAACAATATACTCAGATCACAACATAATTGAGGTCAACATGTATGCGAGGAGCCCCAGACCGACAAAATGAGACTAGTCACGAGGGAGCATTCACCAATTCAACTCAATAACAAAAACATAAAGTGGGACCAAGTAAAACCAAGTCCTAACCGATATAAGCTGGGAAGATATACTAAGCAACACAGACCCAAACTTATGCCTAGAAAAAGATTAACTCGTGGGACTCGATGTATGCACAAGGGTTATTCCTCTAAGAAAAAGGAGGAGTAGATGTAAAATAGGGAAAAAGACAGGCGCTCCCTTTACAGGCGACGGAAAGAAAAACAGAGCGGTAAAAGAGGTCAATATATCTGAAATGCGCAGGGAGACACTGGGCAGAGAAATTTGCAAGCATCGAACTTAAGCTAAAAGAATCCTTTAGGAGTCAGGAATCGCGGGAAGAACTAAAGCTATAAATGAAATCGAAAGAAACCCAAAGTATTTCTTTCCCTATGCCAAATCAAAATCGAGAACAACGCCAGTATTGGGGCCCCTACTTAAACAAGATGGGTCCTACACAGATGACAGCAAGGAAATGATGAGCTACTCAAGTCCCAATATGACTCAGTTTTTAGCAAGCCGCTAACCAGACTGAGAGTCGAAGATCAAAATGAATTTTTATGAAGGCCACAAAATTTGATTAACACAAGCCTATCCGATGTTATCCTGACGCCAAATGACTTCGAACAGGCGATAAATGAAAATGCCATGCACTCTGCCCCAGGCCAGATCATGGAACTCTGTGTTCATCAAGAACTGCAAGAAGCCCCCATCACGAGCCTTTTCCATCCTATGGAGAGGAGCATGGACACGGGGTCGTCCCTCAGTTACTAAAAACAACAGACATAGCCCCACTCCACAAAGGGGGCAAATAAAACAACAGCAAAGAACTACAGACCAATAGCACTAACATCCCATATCATAAAAATCTTTGAAAGGGTCCTAAGAAAAAAAGATCACCACCCATCTAAAACCCATCAGTTACACAAACCCCGGGCAACATGGGTTTAGAACAGGTCGCTCCTGTCTGTCTCAACTACTGGGTCACTACGACAAGGGCCTAAATGCACTAGAAAACAAAAAGAATGCAGATGTAATATATACAGACTTTGCAAAGCCTTCGACAAGTTTTGACCATGGCGTAATAGCGCACAAAATGCGCGCCCAAAAATAACAGGAAAAGTCGGTCGATGGATCTATAATTTCCTCACTAACAGAACACAGAGAGTAGTCGTCAAAAGAGTAAAGTCCGAGGCAGCTACGGTAAAGCCTGTTCCACAAGGCACAGTACTAGCTCCCATCTTGTTCCCCATCCTCATATGCGACATTAGACAAGGATGTCAGCCACAGCACCGTGTCTCCTTTGCAGATGACACCCGAATCTGCATGACAGTGTCTTCCATTGCAGACACTGCAAGGCTCCAGGGGGACATCAACCAAATCTTTCAGTGGGCTGCAGAAAAACAATATGAAAATTCAACGATGAGAAATTTCAATTACTCAGATATGGTAAACATGAGGAAATTAAATCTTCATCAGAGTACAAAACAAATTCTGGCCACGAAATAGAGCGAAACACCAAAAGTCAAAGACCTTTGGGGGTGATTATGTCCCGGGGGATCTCACCTTTAAGGACCATAACATTGTATCAACGCATCTGCTAGAAAAATGACAGGATGGATAATGAGAACCTTCAAACTAGGGGGGCCAAGCCCATGATGACCACTCTTTAGGTCACTTGTTCTATCTAGGGTGGAATATTGCTGCACTCTAACAGCACCTTTCAAGGCAGGTGAAATTGCCGACCTAGAAAAAGTACAGAGAACTTCACGGGCGCATAACGGAGATAAAACACCCCAATTACTGGGAGCGCTTGAGGGTTTTTAAACCTGTATTCCCTGGAACGCAGGAGGGAGAGATACATGATTATATACACCTGGAAAATTTCCCAGAGGGACTTTGTACCGAACTTGCACACGAAAATCACCACTACGAAAACAAAAGACTTGGCAGACGATTTCACCATCCCCCAATGAAAAGCAGGGGTGTCACTAGCACGTTAAGAGACCATACAATAAGTGTCAGGGGCCCGAGACTGTTCAACTGCCTCCCAGCACACATAAGGGGGATTACCAACAGACCCCTGGCAGTCTTCAAGCTGGCACTGGACAAGCTCCTAAAGTCAGTTCCTGATCAGCCGGGCTGTGGCTCGTACGTTGGTTTGCGTGCAGCCAGCAGCAACAGCCTGGTTGATCAGGCGCTGATCCACCAGGAGGCCTGGTCACAGACCGGGCCGCGGGGGCGTTGACCCCCGAAACTCTCTCCAGGTAAACTCCAGGTAAACTCCAGACTGATACTGGCCAGTTAGGTATGTTTTAATTGGATAGGTTATGGGTGATCCAGTCACATCAAGTGACCACCAGAGAATATCTGGTAAGTGGTGGGATTATGTACAAGTGTTTTTTCCTTGATGGGTATATCCATGTGTAACCTACCCCCCCCCTTCATTCAGTTAAACTAATATAATCTATACAGTCCACAATTAATTAGTAGCGCCGTACTTGAGGGTGCTACCCAATTTATACTGGTCTCGGATAGATATGGATAAGATTGTGAGGGTCGAGGGGCCACCTGCAGTGACCAGAGGTGGTTAAGTTTTGTCACATGTCTACATGGGTGACTATGGTAAACAATATCGTTGTTGTCTCCCAAGGAGATTACTCGTATGCATGTAATGTTGAGGTATGTACAAGTAATCACTCCTATAAAATTTTCCATAGATATATTATTTATAAAACAATTGTTACCAGATCATATAAATGAAATTGTGAGAAATGCAACACTACCTAATTATAAGTTTTAAATACATGGATGGAAACATGCTGAACAGCAATTTACATACAGCAGTTTTAACACACTGGCCATCTCCCACTGAAGTAGGGGTGACCCGAAAAAGAAGAAACACTTTCACCATCATTCACTCTATCACTGTCGTGCCGCAGGCGCGCAGTGATAGAGTGAATGATGCCCCTCTGCTATATTTACAGCAAATATCCCTACCCCTCCTTCAGAGTGCAAACACTGTACTCTCATCACCAAACTCGGATTATGCCACTGATGTGTTGCATTCAACAAAATATTTATGGATCAGTAAGATAAGCTTAAAAAAATTATAAACGGGATCCCGGAATTGATAAATGAGTTGTGATAAAATGATGAAAAAATAAAGATAACCATGCTAGTTGAGAGGAAAAAATGAGGATTGATAACATATAGGTTAAAAAATATATGAAAGGTATAAATAATTATTTTTAGTAGTTTCAACAGGAAAAAATATGAGGCCACCGATGTAAATTAAGAAAAAAATGGGGTTTAAGGGAAACTAAACTATAAAACTTTCAGTTACACATAGTAAATAAATAAATAAATATCTTTATTTACTACAAGTACACGTACATGGTATACAGGCCTAGCTGACATCAATGACATACTACTATATAGAAAGCTCATAATGCAGAGCATTTCGGGCAGATCAGGTCAGTTTTGTCCCAGGATGCGACCCACACCAGGCGACTAACTCCTAGGTACCCATTTTACTAATGGGTGAACAGGGAAAACAGATGGCTTATGGAAACACGTCCATAATGTTTTCCAGCCGTACCGGAGGAGATTCGAACTCCGGACCTCAGTGTTTGAGCTGAGTGCTCTAGCGATCGAACTACGGGCCACCAAGTAGTCACTTCTCGCTCGACGGGAATAAGTGCTACAACCAATGGGAATTTCAACATTAACTAAGTAAGTTAGATTATATGATGAGCACATTAATGAAGAGAGACCACAAGCATAACTCTGCCCATGTAACTACAAATAATAGGTAATTATTAAAAGGTTATTTCAGACTAATGTTCATTGTCTTCGTGTGGCGAATAACTTAAAAAAAAAAAGGTTACATGTCACAAGAAGACAATAAAAATTAATTTGAAACAACTATATGGTTTACACTTAATAGTTTTCGTGTTCATCATTCTAACTGCAACTGAATCTGGACACAGTGACAAAATCCATCACTTTTTTGCAAAAGGTTTCAGTTCAACAATAAAAGTAATGATCTCAAGATGTCAGCAATGCCTATTGTTTAGTAATATATAATCATTCACTCTATTTCCTTGACCAAAATTATTTTATTTAACTACATTCTAGTCAAGCTACACTATCTCATTCTTCATCATGTTTTTTATTGTACGATTATCACTTGGAAACTAGAAAGTATTTTGTCAATGAAATGTTAAACATAAACCGTAAGCTAAAAACTGCATCGAAGAGTACTAAAAAAATCTGCTAGACTATACTTAACTGAATGCACAAAACACATAACCTATATCTGAATTAAAATATTGGCAAATTCTGAATGGCGATGTAAATAATTTATTCACCTACAGACATGTCTCTATCTCTTCAGTCATTGTAAGACAATAGGTAACTTTAATACTTACTGTTTTTTATGTGCAAGAGTAGAGGTCGCATCTTTTGTATGTGAAGATGCAGGAGTAGTGGAAGGTGTAGGTATACACCTCTGCTTCCTGGGTCTCATGACTGATACTGGCGTTGAAGGACTCCTTGGCCTTTCTTCATTCTA